GTGTTAGTTTGCTTCAGGGTGTGTAGGTTGTCCTCTTTATGGCTGCTGAGTTGGGGGAAGGGAACCCACGCAAAAAGAAATTTGTGTAACTGGATCTTGAAAGCTGTGTGCCATGGTTCACTGTGTAGAGTGGCGAGACAGGCAAACATCTCTGTTTTATTATCCTTGTTCCACTGCAAGGAAAAAGGAGCAGAACACTGAGAATGAAAAAGATCCGCATATTGAAAGGGATCTCACGTGTGAAGCAGCTGGAGTTTCTCCAAAGCCTGATCGAGTCTTAATTTCTAGGCTGAGAGAAATTTAACCATGCAAAACTCATGTTTGAACTTCTCCCCCACAATGAGATATGAAGCTGTTGATACAAAAATAGCTCTTCGTTATTGACCTAGTTGACAAGGCACTAGAAGACTAACCTTTCCTCTATGAATTCCTTGGAGTAAGAACGGGATAGAAGTGGTGTGCTAGTTTTTTGGGGGGCAGAAAGATAGTGATGGGTTCCGATATCTTAGAAAGGGTGGGGTATGATCTGTGATGTTTATTTGTAAGCTTCCCAGTTTTCACATATTCAGTGTGATCACAGGTGAAGAACTGATAATTAAGCCCACATTTTAAATGTTAAAAAAAATCTTGTTAAGGAAAATTCAGCACCTTTCTTGACAGCCCAAGAGTGCTGTGTTCAGACTTAAAGCTGCCTCTTCATACTGCCTTTGCTCATCCCTTTCCAAGGCACGTAAAGTACGCAGCACATCTTTTAAGGCCTGATCATTGTGTCTTGGGGAGCGAGACTGGGAAGCGTTCTATTTTTCCAGGATCCCAAAACTCCAGTTTTCTTACAAAGGAAAGAAAGAAAGATTTTGGGGAAATGTTGGAGGAGAGCCATGCTAACGTATGGTGGCAAAAAAGGATTTTTTAAAGTTAAAAGTATATGCCTTTTAATAGCATTTATTCACTGGAAAAGGTGCTCCCAGATTCCTGATTTTGGGAGAAAATTGATGATTGTAAGTTGGTCATAAGCAGCAAGAAGACCAAGATGTGACAGTGAGAAGTGGGCTTAGGTTCTTCCCCAGGAGGCAATTTTCAGAATAGTTTGCCTTCTTTTCCTTAAGCTCTCCAGCCAGAAAGACACAGGGGCGGTCTGAAGCTCAGCGTAACCACAGGGAACAGTTGCCACGTAGTGTTTTAATGCAGTGCACTGAAAGAGCCTGACGAACTGCAGTAATAAAGCTTTGTCTTTAGTGTAACCAGCAGAAGGCTTCCTAAGTACTGTACACAAAATTTAATAACATGCTGACTGGGATCTATCTTTCCTACCCCATAAATTCCTCTTTGCTCTAAGCCATATCTCATTGAAAACCGGCTCCAAGCACAAAATCTTAAACCGCTGCTGCCACTAGAGGTCACAGCTCAGGAACAAACCTCACAGCGCACGTTGAGGCTGCTCTTAACAGCGTTCGGTGTGCTCGCTGGGACTGCACGTGCCTCACGGCTCGTTGCTGGCTTTGGGCAGCAGCCTCAGTGTGGCCACCCTCTGTGGCAGCTTCTGGGTCTTCTTCAGGTGGGCTCGGAATACCAACCCTGAACAAGCTCGCAGTGTTTTATTTGTGTAAATTAGGCTTGCTCTCGAACACGAGGAAAGCGAAGTGAGCTCTGCTCCTTACAGGGAGGCGCGCTGGAGGCTCCTGAGAGTGGGGCAGTGATGGGAGCGGGAGAAGGACGGTGGCACCCTGAGTCTTCGATGTCCGATGGAAAGGCCCTGGTTGGGACAGCGGTCCATTTGGCGCAGACCGCAGATGACGTAGGAACTCAGCCAGTCACACTCTTCCTGGTCTAGGCCACGCCAGGGATGCCTTGGAAGGTAAAGGGGGAGGGTGGGGGAGTCTCCAAGAGAGAGAAGGGTGAGGCACAGTCCACTCCCTAGACAAAAAAGGCAAGGCCTTAGCTGGCTCGCATCCCAGAATCTCTCTCTAGAAACTAAGTGCCATCTTTCCTCTGGCCACAGTCTGGGAATGCAATCAAAGAAATTAAAGCCAGACAGCATTCTCGTTCATCACAGCTTCCGACCTCGGTTTTCTTTAGCCCTCCCCGCCTCCCCCTGGAGGTTTGGGACACCTCCATTCCACGAAGCTCCACTTCTCTCTTCACTTCTAGATGGCAAGACCCCACTGGAAGATTTAAGGCCATTCTTTCCAGGAACGTTGCCACCTGAGGAGGTCTGGCCAGGGCTCTGTGCCCATTCGGCCAGTCTTTCTCCCAGAAAAGATCCTCACATCTAAGGAGGCCCCAGCCAAGGCCAGCAGTTGCCAGCCCTTGGCCCTCCCCTGGCACCACTGCCAAGCATTGAAGGTGCCCCTTGGTCAGGCTCCTGGCCTGAGATGGGAGCGGTGACCTGCTCTGCACTGAGCCCAGGTGCCTATGGCGCTTGCCCTCTGGCACCTCTACAGCAGAAGGCCCTCTGGGGTGCTCTGGGCACTCATGCTGCTGAAAAGGAAAAGGGGGCTGAAGCGGCCTCTGAAAGGCGGCGGGAAGAGTTCCCAGGCCCGGTGGGAAGCCCTTCAACACTGCTGGGTTGGCTACGCAGCCCAGAAATCAGTGGGCCGTTGGCTTATTGGGAGGGGGGCTGAATTTTTCTTCAGCTAGAAGCTGGTGATGTAATGTGATGTAAAGGAAAGAGGACCAAGACCGTGGCCCGCAGAGCAGCTGTAAGGCAGTGGCCACCTCCCACCGGGGAGAGATCCCTCCGTGTGACCCAGGCCGGCCTCCTTCCTGGCCGCGTTCGCCCGGTGGCTGCTTTTTTCGAAAGCCATGACTGGAACACAAGAAAAAGGGAAAATACCGCAGGTAGGGCTTTTTAAAAGTAATATCTTTTTCGTTCCTCTTACTGCTGGAGAGGCAGGCAGGAGCTTTCCAGCCGCAAGGTTTTTCTCTTTTCGCCCTTCCCCTTTCTCCGTGCGCTGTGCCGAAAGGGGTTAAAATGGGATCTGGGGAAAGTGGGTCTTCGGCGCAGCCGCCTCCCCGGGGAGCCAGCTCCGCTCTGGCTCCGGCTCCGGCT